CACACACAAAGCCAAATAGAGAATTAAGAAAACTTTTATATAGTTTAGGTTTCCAGTGTGAGATTTACCTGGGAAATTGTTTCAAATGCCTGAGAATTTGCCTTTGGAAAAGAACTATTTTCTTCTTACCCAGAATTCTAGGTCTTGAAACTGTGGCTTACCCATAAAGAAAAAAAAAAGAAAAAGATCACTCTAGTTTTCACTCATTTACCCACTTATCAAATATTTACTGAGAACTTACTGTCATTTGCTAGGAGGTGGATGTTAACGATGAATAGACACGTCTTAGCTGGTTTGGTTTGTGGATAGAGCTTCGCCTGCAGACACAAGGGTCCTGAATTCGATTCCAGTCAAGGTCACATGCCCGAGTTGCAGGCTCAATCCCCAGTAGGGGGTGTGCAGGAGGCAGCCAATCAATGATTCTCATCATTAATGTTTCTATCTCTCTATCCCTCTCCCTTCCTCTCTGAAATCAATAAAAATATATTAATTTTTTAAAATATGAAGACATAATCAATTTTGAGGAACTTTAAAGTGAGTTGTGGGAGAAGCTTTGTGAGCATATGGTGATGTGAGCCAGATCTGAGGGTCTGAAAGGTGATATATTTCTTAAAGGATGAATAAGGGTTTGCCAAGATGGTATTGTACATTCCAAAAAGATGGTATAGTATGTGCAAATGGTAAAAAAAGCAAAGACCCTGGATCTATTGAGCAGATGAGTGAGAAGTTGGGGATGACTAGGCATGGTATCCTCTCTCTCTCTATCTCTCTCTCTGCTAGGTAGGTCCAAGCCACACTCCTCAGAAGGCGAGAATAGTGATACCCACAACTCTGATAGTCAGACCTACATAGTAGCCACTAACTCATTTCTAAAGTGGTCACCAGGTGTCAGACACTAGAATTTTGTAAATGACTGGTCTACGTAAGTCAAACATGTCAAACTTGTGGCCTGCAATGAATATTTTTGCAGCCCAGCCAATATAATGGTATGTAAGAAACATTTTAATAAAAATGTTGTAACTTAATTTTTACAACATCCTGTTATATATAATTTTTTTATTGTTTAAAGTATTACATATGTCTCCTTTTTCCCTGATTGACCCCCCCACCACTCCCACCCCCCAGGGCAAGCCCCCACTGCCCCAGTGTCTGTGTCCGTTGGTTATGCTAATATGCATGCACACAAGTCCTTTGGTTGATCTCTAACCCCTTACATAATTATTAATAATGAACTACAGGAGAGAGACAAAATGGCGGCGGTATAGACGGCGTGTCCTGTGCCTTGTCCTGGAGCAGATAGGGTGAGCAGCTGAAACCAGTAATATCCAGCCTGAATTGGCAGAGGAAATTCAGCTGGGAGACAGTTTGCAGCCAGGAAAGGCAGAGGACTCCCAGAGAAAAGTAAAGTCAAGGCTCTGGGAAGGATAATCGACCAGAATTCTGAGCCCTGAGGTTCAGAGGGAACCCACACAGCACCGGCTTGGGCCGCGTCCCTTGGGACGGGTGCAGTGGAAAAAAATGGTACACAGAACTGCTGGTTGGCAGGGGATTCTAGATCTGGGTCCACAGTCAGGAAAGGCTGAAGAGTGCTGGCAGGAGAGCAGTGCGCAGAGGGGCAGCCTCTCTGGTCTCTGAGGCTTGTGCCTTTCTTCATTGAGCCTAGTTCATAGGACCTTTTGGATACAGACACTTACCCATGGCTGGAGCGTGGAAGAAGGTGTGGAATTGTGGAATCTGGGGAGAGAGGGGGGTCCAGGAGTAGTGGCAGCTGAGTCATGCCCAAGCCTGGGTCCCAGGCAGCCATTCTGCCCTAAAGAGATAGGCCCTTCCCCTCCAGTATCCAGGCAACTAGTACAGCCACGCCCAGATTCCACCCTGATTGGTAAAAGGATTAAAAAAACAAAAAACTAAATAGTCCTCGAAAGCACAAATGGGCTGGACTAGAGACTTTCAGTTTCAGCAATCAGATCCTGAGGAACACTACAGTACAGAAGACTGGGATCTTAAGCCAGCCAAAGGAACACTTCACTTTTTCATTTTTATTTTATTCTATTTCTTTTTTTATTACTTTGTTATCTCTTTTTTTCCTTTTTTTCTTTGTTTTCCCGTTTTTGTTTGTTGCTTTATTTTCTATTTTTTTCACATTATTTTTCCATCACTCTATTTTATTTTCTATTTATTTGCTATTTCTTATACCATTTTTGAAATAAAATTTTTTGTAAATTTATTATTATTATTTTTTCTCGTTCTCTTTCCTCTTATCCAGCCATCCCCTTTCTACTTCCTCTTTACTGAACTGAGATCCTCCCCATATTCATCCAACTCTTAACCTTATCTTCTATATATAAGCACAGCATCTACAGTCTCCGCCCCCACCCTCATTGCTGGGGGTTTGATGTTTGTATTTTTTTTTTATTTTTAATTTTTTCTTTAATTTTATTATTATTTTTTTGTTTGTTTTTTTTGTTTGTTTATGTATTGTTTCTGTGGTGTTTTCCCCATATATATAAAATCTCCTTTTCTTCCTTCTTCTTTTTTCTCTTATCTTTTTCACTCTCTTCAATATCATTTATGCTTCTTTTCTCGCCCCTAATTCTCTTTTCTCAGGTGATCACTTATAGTAGGGTTATTGTTGTTGTGAGTACATTCATGCTTTGGTCCCTTTCTGTTGTGTCTTGTCGAGGTGAATTTTATCCTGTCTGGCCAGGTGCTAGAAAGTGAGCCTCATAACCAGTCACCTGGAGAGGAACCTCCATCCACAAACGGGTCAATAACACCCCAGACACAACTACAGAGGCAGGAATAAGGTGGCAGTGAGGGAGAGAGCGTGAGTCAGTGAGGGACCAAAAGAGGAAGTGTGTGGCATGTGGGACATGTGTGTGTGTATGTGAGTGAGGTACAGATAGATCCCGCAGGGCCATCAGGGTCAGGCTAAATGGGCTCGCCTAACTAGGCAGCCTCTGCCACCATGTAAGCAGTTCCAGGAGGCCGACTCATCCCCAGAAGCCTAGCATTTTGTAAGGGGAGGGCTGCTGTAACTGGGAGCCAGGCTTTACCCCCACCCAGGGTGCCCTCAGATAACACCTGGGACTATACAGACACCCCTGCCAGGGACCTGCTACTTCGGCTGTGGTCCCACGGTCAACGAGTCTCCAGCCACCCTGGGCGCAGACTCCTGTGAGTTCTGAAGCATGCTCCCCTCTGACCAGCCCAGCGCCTTAGCCCAGGGCACTGAAACCACGCAAGCAGCAGACACGTGAGCAGCCCAATCCTGTCCAAGGAGCAGCAGCCCCACGAACAGCCTGCCCCAGGCCTAACAGCAAAAACCTCACGTGGCCCACCTCTCTCCAAGGAGCAGCAGTTGTCAGCTGTGTGTGCAGTCCACTCCCTCGTCCAAGGAGCAGCAACCATGTGAGCAACCTGCCCCATTTGAGGAGCAGCAGCCCCACGCATCCTGCCCCCATCCGAGGAGCAGCAGCTGCGCAGCCCACACACTCCTCCTGTCTGAGGAGCAGTAGGTGTGTGAGAAACCTGCCCCCATCCAAGGAGCAGCAGCTGCACATGCAGCCTGCCCACATATGAGGAGCAGTAGCAGTGTGAGCATCCCATACCCATATGGGGAACAGCATCACCACAAGCAGCCCACTCCCATTCAAGGGGCAGTAGCCACCCAAGCAGCCTCCCCCAGTCCAAAGAGCAGCAGCCACACAACCAGACCACCCACATCTGAGGAGCAGCAGCCCTGTGCAGTCCACACTGGTCCAAGGAGCAGCAGACACATGCATCCTGCATCTGTCTGATGAGCAGCAGCTAGGTGAGCGGCCTGTCCCCATCCGAGGAGCAGCAGACACACATGCCGCTTGCTCCCACCTGAAGAGAAGCAGCCATGCAAGCAGCTCATCCCCCGTCTGAGGAGCAGCAGCCACACGAGCAGACAGCCCCTGTACGAGGAGCAACAGCCACATGTGAAGCTCACCCCTGTACAAAGAGTACCAGCCACATGGACAGATAGACCGACCACATCTGAGGAGCAGCAGCCCTGCGCATCCCACACTGGTCCAAGCAGCAGCAGCCTCATGCAGCCTGCACCTGTCCGATGAGCAACAGCTGGGTGAACATCCCACCCCCATCTGAGGAGCAGCAGCTGTTCAAGCATCCTGCACCCGTACAATGAGCAGTGGCCCTGTAAGCAACCTGCCCTTGTCCAAAAAGCGGCAGCCTCATGAGCAGCCCACCCCATCTGAGGAACAGCAGCAGCATGCATTCAGCCCGATCCAAGGAGCAGCAGCCATATGAGCAGTCCATGCCCATTCGAGGAGCAGAAGCCACGTGAACAGCCCACTCCTGTCCAAGGAGCAGCAGCCGCGCACAGCCCGCCCCCACCTGAAGAGCAGCAGCCTCATGATCAGCCCACCCCTGTCCAAGGAACACCAGTGGGGTGAGTAGCCTCACCTACCAGCCAGAGGAGACAACACTGCTGCGAAGAGCACCCACCAGAGGAGCCGCTGCTGACAGAGGAGCAGCCACTACTGCGACCACTTGAGGGGAAACTGCAGCCCGAGGAACCACTACCACCCAAGGAGCATCCCCTGCTCGACTCGACATCTAGACCAGTGGGTGAGACCAAAATGGGTAGACAAAAAAAAAAACCTAAAGGAAAGGATGAATCGCAAAAAAAGCTGATAAGTGAAACAGAGGCATGTAATATGTCAGAAAAAGAATTCAGAATAAGAGTCCTAGAGGGCATAAACTGGATGGAGGAAAAAATCAACAACTTCTGCAAGAATCAAGAAGAAATGGATGAAAAAATCAAAAACTTATGTAAGAATCAAGAAGAAATGAAGAGTTATATAGCTGCAATAAAAAACACTATGGAAAGCATCAACAGTTGTCTAGGAGAAGCAGAGGACTGAATTAGTGAATTAGAAGACAGGAAGCAAAACACACCCAAACTGAACTGCAATTGGAGAAAAAAATTAAAAGACAGGAGGAGAGCCTAAGGGAGCTATGGGACAACATAAAATGAAGCAACATACGAATAATAGGGGTGCCAGAACAACAGCAAGAGGAACAAGGCTTAGAAAACCTATTCAAAGAAATATTGTCAGAAAACTTCCCTGATGTGGGGAAGAAAAAAGTCACACAAGCT